AACGTCTGACAACTGATTGCACGTCAAGTGCATCAGCTTTATGTACACTGCAAACAACAGAGTGAGACTCATATCTTACCATTCTAGAAAACCATTAGCGGTGACTGGAAATGATAGCAATAAAATCTTAGGACAGCCTGGCTCAGTGGTAGCACTCTCGCCTCTGAATCAGAAGGTTGTGAGTTCAAGTCCTATGTCGGTACTTGGAATCATATAGTCTAAGCTGATACTGCAGTGCATTGCTTGGGGAGATGACATCCTTCGGATGAAACATTATACAGAGTTCCCGTCTGCCCGTTCAGGTGAACGTTGAACATCCCATGGCACTGTTCAAAAAGAGAAGGGAGTTTTCTGCCCAACAAATCCCCCAAATAAAAAAAATTGTCACTATTTGTGAGACATTCTTGTGTGCAAATGGCTGTTGCATTTCACCCCAAAAATACAGTCAATCCACTTTACAGTGTATCCTGTGAAACGCTTTGAGATGCCTCAACAACTTGCTAAGTCAAATACATGTATTATTATTAAAGTAAACAAGACAGTCCAGGATCATTTCAGTGGAAGGTCGAGGCACTTTCTGAGGCGATATTGTCAACACGCAGGTATTGATCATTCGCAAATCACATTGATCTGTTGGTTGGAGGTGGAACTGCGGTTGAGGTAGGATCATATTAGCATCATAAAAAGGTATGGGGAAAAGGCAGGAAAATAGGACTAGATTGATAGCTCTTTCAGAGATTCCAGCACACGTATGATGGGCCAAATGGCCTCCATTTGTCCTGTAAATTTCTTTGGTTATATGTTCTGCATCCCTCCTTTGCTCCTTGCCCTGGTTTACTGTAACTGCAGGATGCAAGTGAGTTATATGAAACAGCAGTGTCCTTCCTGATTTAAAATTATAGCATAATGCACAATGAATGATGCAATAATCACTGATACCTTTTTAAAAAATAGAATAACATGTATAAATATATGATATTTATCATAACATTTAGCATTGAGTCTTCCATTGTCTGTATTTTTTTTATCTCTGAGTGCTTAACAGTTCACTCAACCTTATCATTGTAGGTGGGATTTTAGAGATTTTACTGAGTGCATTATAGATTGGTGGACTATCAGAGTACCTTCCACAGTGTGGGAAACAGTGTATGTGATGTGGATAATGAAGGGCGTTTCTCTCGGTGTCCTGATCAACAATCCCCCAAACAAAATAAAATAAAATTGGTCATTCGTTTATGGCTGTTTATGGGACATTGCCTTGTGCAATTGGGCTGAGGCATTCGCCTACAAATACACAGTTACTGCACTACGTAGCAAATCCTGTGGAGCTCTTTGGGAAGTCCTCCTGAAGTGAAAAGCACTGCACTGTAGCATTGTAAGGATTATTTATTATTATTATTATTATTATAATGGGGTCTATTACTTGACAAATTCTAATTTGATTTATTTGCCAACGAAAGTGAAAGATCATTATGTTTAACTCCAGGAAGATATTCTCTGACACTGCCTATTTATGAAGCAGGAGTTCTCATGAGTCAGTGTAAGATACTATAAATTTCCCTTTACCTTATCCATTCATATGAATGCAATTGTTATTGTTATTGTTTTATTAACTTGTCCTATGCCCAATGATTTGAATTTATACCCGTCCTCATATTCCATTCCCAGCACAGCCTCGACCCACTCTCAAATTACTCAAATAATTATATGGAACCTGGTGGTTAGTCGATTGGCAGTTTGCTTCTCCAGGGGTAATTATCCCTTAAAACATATGCAAATAAATAATTTGGTCACTCAATCCACGACTATTTGTGAAACTTTTGCTAATTGCTGTGCGTAATTGGCTGCCGCGTTTCGCCCAAAAATATGCAATCAATTTACTTTATAGTATATTCTGTAAAGCGCTCAAGACGTAATAATGCACAAGATCAAAATGGCAGGATTATTATTATGCTGTTTTATCATGATTCGTGTGTCTGCATATAATCATTTTATCGCATCATGTTAATGTGTTTCAATCAGGTTCTAAAATAGAATTTTTCTATGATTCCTTCACGTAAAATGTTTTACTTCAGGAGTGCTAACAATATTCTCCTAATCCCTGCCTCCTCATCAAATCCCTATGCAATCTCTAATGAAAGTGACAACCTTTAGATAAGCTTCTCCTTTGCGATATTACGATATATTTCTCTGTACCTGATCTCGTTGAGTGGAGGGACAATGTTTTATTCATAACTTGTATAACCATTTGCCAGCAAAATATACACAGCCACATCACTCCATGATAATAATAATCATTACATTTGATGTAGCGCCTTATTACATCTTCAAGACATCTCAGAGCGCTTCACAGAACATACTGTAAAGTGGATTGACTGTGTATTTTGTATTTTATGGGAGAAACGAACTAGCCACAGCAGTGCACAGCACAATTGCGCACAGCAGTGCCCCACAAATAGTCATGGATTGAGTACAGTAAATCCTGCAAATCGCTTTAAGATTTGACAAAGTGATAAGGTGCCATATCGAATTCTCAAATTATTATTTAATTGCAGAGGGAATAACCAACAAAGATTAATAGAAGTGGATGTTCTTTTGCTAGACTGTTTTGAATGCAAATGCTGAGGATTATAATTGGTAGCTCCAGTGGTAGAAATAGCACCAGCACAGATGAAATGGAGCTCTGTATGCTAAGCCGCTTCTGCTCTTTCCCCATATTCATGTAATAACATTTTCCCCCTCAAGTAGTTTTCTAATTCCTTTTCAAATGCCATGATGCACTCAGCTTCAAAGCCATTTGTGCTAAGGTGTTCCACATTCCAAGAATCAAAAAAAGTCTTCTTTTCTTCCGAAGTAAATTTATTCTTATTAGTTATCACACAATAAAAGTAAAATAACTGGAAGAGTGAGATTTGGGGAAAACATTCACTAACGAGATTCAAGTCTGCGAATATTTTTCTTGCGTCTTGCACCTTCAGATATTTTTTTTTCTTGAATGTTCCTCTGCGCAAATCATTGTCACATTGGAATTAAACATACATATTGCCCCTTTGGTGAAGCCTTGTAAAAAGGCACTTTGACTGGAACAGAAATCCATTGTTCCTGTCTAGAGGAAAGGGTGGGATAATTACTAATAATCTCAATTATTTTGTTAGGTTGATGATAATGCAGACACATCCATGCACCCCAGATCAGAAGCAAACGAGAAGATACATGCTAAGTTTCTTTTGTTACTTCCTCAATAGCCTAGTGGTTAAACACACCACAGCATTAAGCCACGTAGTTTATAAAGTCACAGGTTCAAATCCTGTGACTGTAACGTAATACTGAGATAGTTGATGTTTCTATGAATTGACCTCAATGCTTCTAGTTGATGGAAGGAAACACACAATGGGGATTCCCATCCCTGACCACTGTCCAGAGGACCCTACAAGTAAGAGGCGTGTGTGTTGCTGACGGAGCATGTGGACAGAGCTGGGCTTGGCTGTGTTGCCCATTTTCTCCCCAGTTGAATAGCAAGGCAACACTCACTGCCAATGACCACTGCACTGCAGTGAACTGCCCCTGGCTCCTGTAGAAAGCAAAAAGGAGCCAAATATTTTCAGGAGAAAAGGAAAAACATTGGAGGAGACAATTGGCAAGGATAAGGGAAAGAGGATGACTATTTTCATTGTTTTTTTATGACGTTCTTTTCCATTGGTGTCAAATTAGATTCACAAATGATCTCACCTCTGGTGGTGAATTACATGTGTTATGATATGGGTATGGATAACTAATGTGTACGTACAGAGATATGAGTTATGAGTATTAATTTTCCTTCACTCAGGAACCATTGAAACATGTGTGAGTGCTTGGTGTAGTTAATGTTACTCCAATGTGCAACATAAAACAAATGGGAAACAAATGTACCATGTGTTTTAGGTCAATTTTATTCGAGTTATTTAATATGCAATTAGTCAAAATATTCAATGTAAAATAAGTTACAGTCTGTAAGAGATCTAAACAAAATAATAATCTCTGCATTTGAGATAGCGCCTTGTCACATAAAAATTTCTCGAAGCGCTCCATAGAGTTTTCTGGAACGTATAGCGATTGGGTATTTTGTAGGTGAATACAATAGCTCATTTCCGCAGAGCAAAATTTCACAAACAGCCAGAAGTGAAAGACCTTTTTTTAAATCTGGGGGATTGCTTGTCAGGGCACTGCCATTGGCAGTGAGTGTTGCCTTGCTATTCAAAGAGTGTCATGCAATAATAATAATCCTTGCATTTGATATAGTGCTTTTCACGTCGGGAGGACGTCCCAAAGCGCTTCACAGAGCACACTGTAAAGTGAATTGACTGTATATTTGTGGGCAAACGCGACAGCCAATTGCGCACAGCAGTGTCCCACAAACAGTCGTAGATTGAAAATGACCAATTTATTATTGTTTTTGGTTTTGGAGGGATTATTATTAGGCTCTGTGTGGAGTAAGGAAACTTGCCCAAGGTTTCACCCTCTGCCTGGAATTGAACTCAGGTCTCTCACTTGCAAAGCGAGTGCTCTAACCACTGAGCTACAGGACTCCACAAATCTTTAGTACCCACCTGAATAGGCAGACAGGCAGTTTCCAAAATGAGCTGAATAACTTCAGATGCATGTGCCTGAGTAAAAGAGGGCGCTGGCTGGATTATTCATTACATTTGTTATCATTACAATCCAATCCAATTTATATAGGACCTTTCACGTCCTAAGGATGTCTCAGAGCGCTTAATAATTATTACTGTTACTATTAGACCCACTCACATTTGACCATTTGTGTAATGTACAAGGATGGCCAGAACTAAATCTATCCCATCCTTCCAAGAGTGCTTTGCATGAACACAAGAACTTGGGCATTTAAGATACACTTGGATGAACCTCTGGATTACTGCTGTGCTCCAACCTGCTGAATGTTTTGGTGGAATCTACGTAATTGTATAGGAAAAAAATAAGAGAGAATAATGAACAGATTCTAATGGTTTAAAATTGTATTTACTTTATTGGTAAATACTGAAACTGGTTACCTTCAAATAACGCACCAAAACTAAAATGAATGCAAAATATTCTAATATACAAAGCTCATACTATCATAAAGTATTCATGAGTCCCACACCAAAACCATAGTTAAACCTCTAAGTTTGCTATAATGAAAACCCACACCAAACAACAGTGCTCTCCCATGTTAATGTTCTGCAAAGCTAAGCTTGAAGTGTGTTCACTTATACCCAGTTTTCACAGGCAGTCAGGTTCTTCGTTAAGGCATTGGTGAAGCCATGTTGCTACATTTATGGAACTTTCTCTTTGGAATTCTGGAATGAATACTGAGGATGAATTTGTCCTTCCCAGGAAATGAACGTTTGCGTGTACAATCATTACATTATTCTGTATTATGTAGATGCTATTGGTTCTGATTCAAACCGCTGCACGTTTATTATTGAATTCACTAAAGCATGTCAGGAGGACGTCTCAAGATGCTTCATAGAATCAGCTCGGAGGCCACACTGGGGTTGAGGGGGAGGAGCAGAGGAAGGTATGGGTGTGGGGGGAGAGAGGTGACAAAAAGCACAATCAAAAAGATATTAAGATGGGTTTTAAAGATGAATGCAAAAATTGACACTTTTTTCATTGCTTTAACAGAGGGAAATTCCCATTATAAGCAAGTAACAAAAAGTTGCTACTTTTAGTGGTTGGCGAGTGATAGAGCCCATTAACCTGGCAAGTGATTGATAGGTATTCAAACACACTGAATATAAAGAGTGTTGTACTGCGAATCCATCCAGGATGCCAAAAATTGGCATAATAGTTTCTGTCATCGGATATTTCATGGGGGTTGGTATAGCCAGTGACTCTGGTTCTTAAATCGCCAGCAACATAATCACTAGATAGAATTGTGTCTAACTCTTTGCGGATTTTTACTTAGTCCCATAAACTGATCTGAAAGGAATGTGATAAACAAAAAGAACAATCAACCAAATATCAGCTAACAAGGAGCAAGTCGTATAGAATTATACAATATTCTCTCATTTCTGCAGTTAGGATCCAGGTCATTTTCCATGGTTTACGGTCGTTAGGAATCCATGAGTTCTTCTATTGGTGTAGTAAACAAACTGTGCTTCTTAAATGGACTATTGTCGATCTTTATTTCAGTGACCCCCTGTTGTGGAAGAAAGCAAATAGTTATTGGGATGTACAAAGGGAAGCTTTCCCTTTGGGTGGGGACGTTAAACCGAGGTCCTATCTGCCTGCTTAAGGGGACGTTAAAGGCATGACTCTATTCAAAAAAAATGGTGTCCTGGGCAAGAATCTTTCAGATAAAATTGTTTTACTCATTTCCTTCCTGGCTGTGGGACATTTCTGTGTGAAAGTTAGCTGCTGTGTTTATCTACAAAATACAACATGAGAAACTCCCTTCCCTTTCAAATAAAAAATAACAAAATTGGTCACTCAATCCACGACTGTCTGTGGTACACTGCTGTGTGCAATTGGCTGCTGCGTTTCGCCCACAAAATATACAGTGAATTCACTTTACAGTATATTCTGTGAAACGCCCTGTGACAATCTCAAAGACTATAGTAAATGCAAGGATTATTATTATCTTTGGCGTCTTTAACAGCCTGAAGAGGCAGATGGGATCTCAGTTTTACATTTTGATCCAAAGGACAGCATTTTCAACACTGAGGCACTGCCCAGCACTGCATTGTTGGGTCAGTGTAAGCTGTGAGTTGAAAGTCCTGAACATGGGGCTTGAACCTACAACCTGCTGACTCAGAGTGCAGTTAACTCAGCCAAGCTGACATCTTCACTACTTATCTAATATATTTATAGATACCCTTGTGGGAGTGTAGTAGCTGAATAAAGAGTGCATAAAGAACTTAATAACCAAACAGCACATCACATTTATTTACATTTGATTTAATAACATTTACATTATTTTTAAATATAGTTCTTTATGACCTTTTAATTCAGCTGCTATCATCTTTGCTTTTGCTCGTGTTCCCCTTTTTCTCCAAGGAATTTCTAAACAGTAAACCTAGTGGAGTTGAACCTCACATGTAGGTATAGAGGACACCTTATTATTTAGGTCATGTTTTCAGTGTTTTTTTAATTTGAAACTGATGGTGACCAAAATGCCAAACTCACTAATGAGGACACCACACTAGAAAGGGTAAGACGGCAGTAACCATTTGCTGATCCAGTCTTGAGTATGTCAATTCCATAACAGAAACGGGTCCTTTCTTTGGGTAGTTTTGCAAAATGTTCGATCTTACTGGATTAAGCCAGTTAAAGCAGAAAGTACACTGTTGAAATAACCTTTTAAGATGAACTGATTCCATTACAGTCTTAGCAAGCATCAAGAATCTGTCAGTCGTCCTGCTCCTTGTAAATCTACAGCTGTCAGTGAACCGTCTAATTATATGCAGCTCCTAGTTTTAGATGTAACCGTGTGTGCTCAACTGCAGGGGGATGTAAGAGAAGCTAGTCTGGGCAAGATTTCGGAAATAACTGGTCTCACTACAAGAAGCTTTTAATGTAAATTCATGTAAGGACAATTAAAAAGATTTGTTTTCTCTTTATATTAATCGTAGAATATTTTTTTCAATATTGAAATGACTTATTCTGTGCTCAAAATATATTTTTTTAATTGCCAAGTCAAACATATATTAGGAATTAATGGCTTTTTACCTTATTACTAAATTTTGCTTGAAAATGAAACATTTTCCCCCGGTTTTTGTGTTCAATAATAAAAAAAACTCCTTGGATTTGATGCAGCAACTTTTACAGGATCACAGGATTTATTGTAAAGGGTAATGACAAACCCCTGCATCTCATTTCCAAGATTAATCGAAATGTGTGAAAACAGATGTGCATATATAGGTTATAGCAAATGGGTCACAAGACTGCCTATTACATTTATATTGGACATGAAGCATGGTTGTCTGTTTTCAACCAAACATTAATGAAATGCAACGAGAGATAAGCAGACAATTGCCATGTTTAAAAAAAGCACCAAAGTTAGGAGGGAATACAGTTATGCAGTAGGAATGCAGAACATACATACGTATGCTGGAAAGTTAAAGATGTCAAGAACAAATTAGATAGATTTCTGCTAGAAAATAATATCTCGGTTTACAGTTTATAGTTTGAGACACGACATGTCACACGACTGCCAGGCTGGTGGAAGGTGAATTAGATCTACCTTGGTCTTCTTTCGCTTAGCAAATTCTTATGTTCTTAGAAGTGCTTTTTATTTTAACGAGGATGGCCAATAGCGCTAATAAAGCTGTACATTAATAATAATCCCTACATTTGGCATTGGGCTTTTCACATCAGGAGGATGTCGCAAAGCGCTTCACAGATTATACTGTAAAATAGAATGACTGCATTTTGTGGGCAATGATAGCAATAATATTAAAAGCAAAATTATCAATATGAAAATAGTAGGATTCACAAACTGCAACACATGGCATGAAAAGGGAGCAGATATATAACAGCAAGGACTTTGCATGAGGCAAACCTACAGCTGCTCGGTTCAAAGGCAAAAGCAGGTACAAAGGATACAGAGGGCAATGGGTGGCAGACCCCTGATTTGAAGAGGCTCAGCCACAGGAGATTTGTTCGGGGGGGGAAAGAGAGGTTGGAAGGGATGGGAATGCCTTTATTTAACCAGAAATAATAATTAAATTATATTAGTAAAGAATCATACCTTTTAATAACTGCAAGATATTAAAGCAAAGTTTAGTTTCACTCAACACTTCCCTTAGGTCTTAGAATATTATTGCCGTTCATGTTGTTGGAATTAAACAGTCACTTTTTAATTTGCTGTATCACCTGAGTAATGATACAAGAGTCCAGCAGCTTTATAAGCTAAATTGGCCTTTTGTTTCTCTTTTCACTAAACATTTAGAGCCGCTTCTTAGAGGTATGGTACTAAAGAACAATCATGTTTTTTGTGTTAGTATTATATCCCAACCTCTTGGCCCTGTCGACCCATATTTACATTTTACCTAAAACTGGCAAAAACAGAAATACGGTCATATTAACTAGGACCCAAACTCTTAAAGGGGATGTGCTCCACATTTAATAGTGTTGTAACTCGTTTACCTGTATTTTCTTGGCGTGGTCACTCCAGAATGTAATAGGTTGTTCAGTTTTGTAATTATGTTTCTGCAAATAAATAACACGGATTAAAAACACAATAAACAGGATATGCATGACAAGCGCATAACGGAAATAAGACAACAATGTATGTACGGGAAGTGGGTAAGTGGGGTCTCTTTGGAACGAAACTGGATGAAGGTGACATGTTTGGTAACTGAATGTAAGAATCGAGCCAAGCCTCTATGGGAGTCATCCCACTCAGCTCCTGTTAACCTGGCTCCAAGGTGACATGCTTGGCAATGGAATATTGGAACTGAGTCTCGGTAGACCGGTTCCTAAGCAAGGCAAGTCTGGGGTTAGGGCAGACCAGTCAATGGGGGCAGGGATTTTTTCCACTCATCTCCCGTTAACCCTGTAAGCCAAACCCTAATGGGTAGAGTGGTTGAAGCTAGACAAACAGCAGGAAGCTTGCCAGACAGTGCTTTCAATGGCAAGCTATACATTTTAGGCTGGTTAAATCTCCAGTAGTACCCCAACACACATTCCGGGGTCGCTAAGGCTTGTCTCCTGACAATCTATAGTATTCTCTTGAATTTGGTAAACTGGATGAGTCCCTTCAGGGAGAGAGTGTACATTCGATTCCAAACACAAGAATTTCCATGTGTAGGTGGCATGCAAGGAACTCTCAGTTTGCTTTGAAAACTCTTAAGCATGGTGATGGGTTTCCGTAAGTGTTCAACACCCAGCTGCTTTAAAAAAAAGCAGAACAGTAAATACTTTGCAAGTAGCACTGCCTTCAGGATTAGGTAGTGACTTAGTAAACATTTGCTTCCATCCAGTTTTCAAGAATTGAATTTGACAGTAATTTGTATTACATCAGAATGCAGGAATGCAGAGATCCATCTGGCGGATCCCAAAGTAACTTTTGTTTCTTTTTTAAAAAATAAACAATTCTGCATTACCCCATCTATAATACCCTCAAAATGAATTATTTGCCAATTCTTCTTGAATTCTTCTTTGAATTTGTTCACACACGTTACCGCCCTAGTGAATCCAGAAAACATGCTCACTATTTTCTGTATGAAATAATATCATTTTAACTGTCTGTTCACTTTGCTTCTGTTGAGCTATGATTCTATATCCCTTGTTCTGGGATTTTTGACCATGTTAAACATATTACCTGAGCTCAATTTATCTATGCCTTTTGAGATTTGGATATTTCAATAAGATATTGCAGCTTTCTCTTTAGTGTGAAATTTCCAGCTTCTAGAACCTCTCCTCATAATACATTGCCCAAAGTCCAGCTATCCATCTTTTTGCCCTTCACTGTAACTTCCCAAAGCCAAGATTCCCTTATAATGTAAGCACTAGCATTATATGAAGTGCTTCAGATATTGAGGTTATTGAGTGGAGTCCTGTAGCTCAGTAGTTAGAGCACCTGCCTCACAAGCGAGCAATTGGCAAATAATTCATTATGAGGGTATTATAGATGGAGTGCAAAACACTGGGCAAGTTTTCTTACTCCACATACCTTTATTTACCTAGCAGTAAGTAGGAACCCGATTTTTAGTCGATTGACAGATTGCTTTTCCAGAGGTAATAATTCATTCAAAAATAATAATAATAATAAATTGGTCACTCAATCCAGGTCTGTTTGTGAGACACTGCTATGCGCAATTGGCTGTCGCATCTAGCCCACAAAATATGCACAATTCACTTCACAATACATTTTGTGAAGCGTTTTGAGACGTCTTGAAACGTGATAAGGCGCTATATCAAATGCAAGGATTATCATTATTATTGTTAAATCAGCTCCAGCAAGAAAGACAATGTAAGGTGGTACATTGTAGACCTGAACTGGCTCCAAGGTGCCATACTTGGCAACAGAATGTTGGAATTGAGTCAATCAGCTGGGGTAGTCTTTGTAGTCCAGTTCCTCAGCGAGGCAGGTTCACAGTACTCCACAACACTGCTGATGACAGACCAGCCAACCTGGCTCAACAGCAGGAAATAGTGGTCAGAACAATTAGTGGGTATTCTTCCCACTCAGCTGGTGTTAACACTGCAAGTCAAAGCTCTAATGGTCGTCCTAGCTGGATGCTTGTCAGAAAGTCCTTTCAATTGTAAATTATGTGGTTTTAGCTGTTTAAACGCCAGCATAATTCCCAAAGCACACCTTGGGGTCTCCAAGTTTTGGCTCTTGCCAATCTGGGCTTTATTACGCTGCTGATTTAGATAAACAACAACAAGATTACATTTGTATAGCACCGTTCAGGTATACCTCAGGGAGAGAATGTGCATTTCATTCCAGGCATCCATTGAACTCTCAGTCTGGTTTAAATATTTTTCTGCATTGTGTCAGACACCCGACTGACCATAAAATTAGAATGACACACATGCCACACAAGTACACTTGGGGACCCCAAGTGTGCTTTGGGAGTTATGCTGGTATTCAACCAGCTAAAACCACATGGCTTGCCATTGAAAGGACTTTCTGACAAGCTTCCTGCTGCTTGTCCAGCTAGGACGATATATTATAAAGTAAAAAAGCACGTTTTCTATTTCTGTAAGTTAAGTAACAACTTTTTTCTGAAAAGTATCAAATTCATCAAATATTTTGAACGAAGTTAGCTGAGATGGGGAGGATACATTCTATGTACTGCACGATGAAATATTCTTGTGAATGTTCATACAGTTTCTTGTTACTGTTTCTTGACCTGAAATCTCACCTGGTTTGGGCTGAATTTTGCATTAAAAAAATCTTAATATCATCTTTGATGTTGAAGCCAGTTTTATGCTAATCATTAAACAAATACTGTGGAAAATCAACTTCAGAATTAAGAATGAATCTAAGGATTTTCCAGAATTCCGCATGATCTGAACTTTTAGGAGAATAACCTTGAGGTTAACAACAGGTGGAATTTCAGGTGCTAGGAATGAATTGGGACTGAGCAAAGGGTGTGACAAATAACCTGCAGTTCCCTTGGTTATCAAATACTGTAACTAGGGTTACAAAAAAAAATTATTGCAGAAGCCAGGATTCATTAAAATAGCTTTACTTTCCATTCCAAGCAGCTTTTACTGAGTTTTCCACGTGACATGTTTACTGTCAGTAAAGTGTCAGTGAAGTATAAACTGATATTTCCCTCCTGCCTACTTTTTGGAAAAACATTGCTTGATATCTGCTCCCCGCCCCCCACACAATGCGTGCACATTACACACATGCATTTATAAAGTGTGAGTGTGCCAAATGCCTGGACCTTTCTACCTTTTCCATGTCTTGATGACTGGGCTCCGCAGTTTATTTGTACCGTGTGCTCAGGCGTGAAGCTAAATAATCGGTGACTTGTGCTCGCTCGGGTTGCCTACCTTAGTAGGCTGAGGCGGGGTGGATGTAAAGCCTTTGATTCTGAAGTCTCGTCCTGTTACTGACGACTGTTCCATTGGTTCCATTGCAGGGCCGGAGTTAAACTCTTTGAACACATCCTTGCTAAGATGGGAAAGTAAGATTGAGGATGAGGAAGATATCAGCGAAGGACACTGCTAGATCTTATGTCTAGCATTGACCTGCATGCCTTTGCCTCCTCCCCCACTTCCAGCATCTGCCACCAGTGCTGCAAGAAAAACACAGGCTACTGAAGCCGCTCAAATTCTTGCATTCCACATATGGTGCACATGTGGTAACACAAACTAGAAGGAACAAAACAGCTGGCCTCAGTTCTGCCTGTTTTATTTTCAGGCAAAAAAGGCAAGTTCCATAATACGCTGAGGAAATGTAGTTCAATTAAAACATCCAAAGTGCAAAGCACTATTAGTTATTTGTGTCAGAGGAAGGAAAACATAAAAAGGGCTTTAACAAAAGCAGATGTGCGTAATGGCTAATGTTTCCGAAGTAGCTTTTGAAAGCAGTTTCACTCACCTACAGAATATGGTGTTATAGTAATAAAAACCTAACTAAACTTTCACTGTTATTCCAACCAACACAAAGACGTCTTTCAATCTTCGCTCTTTGCTACCTAATCTCAGATAGGTTGGTAATGAGCGGCCAGTCAGAGGGATTTGCATGGGAGGCCACCAGCAAGTAATTTACTCGTACACAAAGGTTGAAGGAAAAACCGAGCTGCAGGAGAGAGAAAAATACGCCAGTTCAAAAGGAGCGTGGGATCGTTTTCCAATTTTAACAGTGTTTGAAGCGGACGGACCATGAAAATTATTTCCAGAAAAGGAATGCTGATACTTTAACTCTGGAAAGAAAATGAAGGAGAAGAAAAAATAGATACGCATTTCACATTTCTCTACTGAACGTGGGCTTGTACCAATGCACTCAATGGCACTCCGCACTCAGATTTGTAATCGGACAGAAAAGTTGCTTTTATTCATAATCTGCTTAGTTATTCAACGGTAATATTGTAAAGCCAAACAAGTGTAAAGTATTTGAGGGCACCGCAGTTCACACTCCAGCCAGTGAGCCTCATTGGAAGCATTTTGAGGGAGCGGAATTCTTCCCACTTGGGTACCCTGCTAACCTCCTTTAGCCCTGCAATCCAAACCCTTATCGGGTAGGGTGGTCCTGGCTGGACAAGATGCGGGAAGATTGTCAGACGGTGCCAAGCTATACATTTTTATCTTGTTGAACTCCAATGGTAACCCCAGCACACTCTCTGGGATTGCTAAGCCTTTTCTCCTGCCGACCTGAACCCAATTACTCTCCAGAATTAAGTAAACATGGTGCGAACCTCCAGGGAGAGAGTAGAAATTTCGCTCACAGGGAAATTTCCATGTGTGGGTGGCATACATACTTATGTGAAGCTTTTATTCTGGTTTGGACACACATAAGCATGGTGATAGTTTCTGCATGTGTCAGATAAAAAAAAACAATGGTAATAAGCTTTGATATTACATTTCCCCAATGTCAAAACCATTCCAAAGCATTTCTTACAATGAGTTATGTTGAAGTATGTAGCCAATGCAGCAGCTAATCTGTGCCAAAATATCCCACAAGCAGCAATAATATGAATTATGAAATTGATCAATTTAAATTTTGGATGAATGAGATATATTGATAGAACTCTGTTGCCTTTCTCTGAAAGAGTTCCGTGTGGCCTTTAACAGCAAAACAAGTAATCAGGAGCCAATTTCAACCCTTGTTGAATAACGTCTCCAACAATTCAGTATCCCTTAGAACTGTACTAGATCATCAGCCCATCTGAAGAGCTCAAGCTCAAGGCCATAATCTTCTGATCCAGAGGTAACACTATAATCTTACATTATTTCCTAAAATGTTTCCAAGTGCGCTAACAACCTAATACAGTTGATAATTGTGCTGATTTATCTTTGAACCAGCAACAACAGTATAATCAAAAGATCTCAAAGCCCTTCACAAGCAATTACTGTCATGTACAGTGACTGTGTGGTTATAGGCAAACTCAGTAGCCAATGTGCCGATAGCAAGTTTTTGGAGATTGTCAGACGTTTTCACTGTAGCAGTGAACAAAAGTACAAATATTACAATAATAAAGTTACTCAAACATATAATGCAATATTAGCCCTAACCATCAAATGTAAAACATTCTTTAGAAGCATTACCAGTGCTCGTCCTCTGATCCCTTTTTCTGTTCTGCTCTCTTGTCTTTACCTATCCTCTTCTTCGCTTATCCTTACTCTCCCTTTTTCTGTCTCAATCTATCTGATTAGTATGTGCTATGTGCACTGCAGATTACATATTGTGCACTACCCTCACTCAACAAGTCAGTCTTTCCCATACAAAATGTATTGTACACAAGGATATAAGACAAAATTGAAATCAGGCATCTTAATGAGAATATTGAAACCCAATAAATAAGGATAAAAAGTGTGTTGAAATTAGATGAAGAACATATGTTCAGTTATTTTGATGACTAAATATGATCCGAGACATGTAACAGATCAGTGTTTAGTGCAAGTTGGACAGAACTGTCTGTTTCCTCTTATGACTCACCTTATGTTTTGACTCACACACTTTTCAATGGTCCGTTCCTTTATTCCTGTAAGAGGAACATAAGGAAGTTACTTTGCAGATAAGAAATGGCAATGGGTCTACTCTTAATGCTACAAAAGAAAACTAGTGGGGTGGTTATTCTGAAGATGAGGTAAAATGAGCCAAGATGTTTTTTCAGCCATAGTTCTCTTGTAATTTTGTTTTTTTTAAAATCTTAAGTGGCTTAAACTGGCTATAACCTTTCGCCCACAAAATATACAGTCAATTCACTTTACAATATATTCTGTGAAGCACTTTGAGACATCTCAAAGACGTGATAAGACACTATATTAAATGCAATGATTATTATTATTACTATTATAACTATAAAACTCTCCTATCTCCACATGTGCAGTAGACCATCCTTGCCAGGCTCCATTGGTTCCCTAACCTCAAATGAAGGTTAACCCCTAACCTCAACATTAAGATCTTTATCCTAACGTTCAAATACCTCCACAGCTTTACTCCACTTTAACTCCGTGATTTCTTCTGGTCCTATTCGACCTTCAACACACTCTACTCAACTAACTCTAGCCTGCTTCATGCCCCGCCCCCCCGTAGCCTTTTAGCTAAAATTAAGGGACATGATGGCGTTGACGACAAGATTGTGTCATGGATAGGAAATTGGTTAGGAGATTGGAGGCGGAGAGTTGGTATAAAAAGGATGTTCTCTGATTTGCAAGTGTCAAGTGTTGTCCACTTGGGATTTGTGCTGGGCCTCAGTTTTTCACCCTGCATACCAATGACCTAGATACAAGAATAGAGGGACTATTTCTAAGTTTGTGGATATCACTAAAATAATAAGAGTTGTACACTCTGAAGAGGACGGTGAAAATTTCAGAGACATAGACAGATTAAGCAAATAGGGAGAACTATGGCAAATAGAGTTTAATTTGCAAAGTGTAAGACAGTACACTTCAGGTACTACAATAATAGTTGGAAGCATGTTCCAAACGGGGAAGCACCAGGAAGAGTAGACAAGCAAAGAAATCTTGGGATTCAAATCCATGTCATTAAAATCTGGTTCACAGGTGCAGAAAGCAGTCAATAAGACAAATGTGATGTCTTTTATTACAAGAGGTCTGGAATACAATAGAAAGGAGGTGCTGTTCCAGTTATACTGGAGTCCCATGAAGGAGATTGCAGTAGAATGCAGGAAGACATAAACATTGCTAGTAGAATGAGCATATAAATGGCAGCTGAAGAATAATGTTAGGAACTAATTCACTCTGGTAGGGAAAATAAAGAGGCCAGCTATAGGCTAGATCCTTCCCGTGAGGGAGAGGGGAATAGAAGGCAGGGAGGAAGGAATGGATGAAGACTCACGTGGAGTCTTTGGCAGGGAGGGACTGGTTGGACTGAGTGGCCTGTTTCCATGCCGTACATTCTTTGCAATCTTCTTTGTAGTTAGAACAGAGATCGAGAAGTACTTCTTCACACAGAGTGGTTCGGTTCAATCCTCAGTTCTCCTTCCTTCCACAGATTTGGTCCCTGACCAAGACCGCTTTTCTTCATCCTTGCCACATTGCCCCACTCTGTCTCTATGTCACACCAAATGCCACCAAAATCTTCAGTCGTGCATTTGATACCTCCTGACTCGACTGTTCAAATTCATTCTGAGTTCTCCCTGCATGAAAGGCACTATATATAGCTTTATATATATAGCTTTACCTACTGCAGCTTTGCTTGCAACCAAAGTATTCAATATGGAATGTAGTTTGACACACAGAAAGACATTTTGTCTTTATCTATACTCAGCTAGGAGGTCTCCTTTTGGGAGGACACAGTGGGAGGTCTCCTGTAACATATTTTCTCTCAGTCTCTCACAGTCTCAGTCTCTCACAGTCTCTCTCTCTCTGTCTCTCTCTCTCTCAATCTCTCCCTCAGTCTCTTTCTCAGTCTCTCTCTCTGTGTCTCTCACTCTCCTTCAGTCTCTCTCTCTCTGTCTCTCTCACAAAACATAGTCACTACACTTCATATATTCTCTCTCAGTCGCTCTGTCTCTCTCCCAGACTCTCTATCTCAGTCTGTCTCTGTCTGTCTCTCTCTGTCTGTCTCTGTCTCTCGCTCTGTCTCTCGCTCTCTGTCTCTCACTCTCTCTGACTATCTCAGTCTCTCTCTCTCTCTCAGTCTGTCTCTCTCAGTCTCTCTATCTCTCTCAGTTTCTTTCTGTCTGTCTGTCCCACAGGAGAGGACTGTAGCTCACATGAGAATATAGATGTATCTCTCTGAATGGTGTGTGCTTTCCTCTGTCACTACATAGTTGCAGAATACGATGCATACCTCATTTTGAGGGCATAATTAAAGCTTTTTTTTAAATATAGCTCATCAATGATAGGAGATTCCCCCAAAAAATATGCCTATGACACTGCCAGTTGCAAGACCTTTCCAATGAGGTAGCAAGTCATGTCTCTACGTCCATCGGTTATAGCATGATTAATGGTTACACTGACAAACAGCCAGACACACAGACACATAGACATTTCATCTTTATCAGTATAGATTTATAAGGAGTCTGTGGTTGTTTTTGTTGATGTTCTTTGGAACGTTTCCTTACCTTTTGTATGTAAAATATGTCCACAGCAAGGACGAAAATCGTTCCGATATGTCGTAACGTCAGACATTTTGGATTCTAAATCAACGGTGAGCAAACCTTTATGTCCATGATTGAACAACTTGAAGTAAGGCACACCCTCCACAGGTTTGTCGATGTCCTTGACAGCTCTCTGGAAAAGAGTTGTAAAAAATAGTTCTTTGACATCAAATTCCATCACACTCATGCTTATTACATTTTTGAACACTTCAAGGTCACTTACTCATATTTCTTTACAATTAATAATAACACTTGCATTTAATATATTATCATATCATCGAGAAGTCTCAAAGAGCTGCATAGGACTGAAGTCAATTGTAGTAATTATATGTTGTAGATGAATGCAGCATGTCAATTTGCACACAGCACCTCGGAATAATGTCCGAAGATATTAATATCCGAAGGACAAGCAGATATGCTTAAGAATATCCAAAGTCATATCCTTAATATCTGTAATTCCCAATTATTCTCTTTTAAACGTCCCTATTGATTCTACTTCAACAGCTTTCTGGGGCAAAGCCTCCCACATCTTCACAATCATCAGTGAGAAGAAATGTTTTATGATTTCCCTACTTCGGGAGTGAAAAAGGAATAAAGTAAAAAACAACTTTCCTAACTCTTACAATTCTATTTGATTGTCTTACAAATAGGCTAATTATAGTGATTCAGTAACGTATTAACTACAAAGGGTGTTGATTGGAAGGCAACAGTCCTGTAATTCTTGATTATTTCATTGAGTGCATAACGATCAGGTGTAATTGTTTTTCCTGAATTGTAAAATGAATTTGGCAACAAAGGGAGATATTTATTTTCAAATAATTGTCCCCATTGTTTTGCCATGAGAAGCTCAACAATTAGTGTAGAGGGTTACCTGTTGGGGTGGTTAGCCTCTGTTGAGTATTCTTTGGAAGCCAACACTCTGAAACTAAACCAAATAAATGGACTTTGGGAACGTTAGATTCAAAAGATGATTTACTCCCAAGTCCATTATCTTAGCGTTTATCAGTTTTGTTTATTCACAAGGTACACCATCAACAACTTGCATTTGTATAGCGCGCTTCACACAGGGAGCATCTCCGAGCACTTAACAGTGGCGGAGCCTGACATCCTATCCTCCCTGCCCTCCAGCCCTCCTGATCCCAACCATCTGCTCGGGTCCAAATCCCTGACTATCCACCGAAGTGAAAGGCACTATACACATGTTATTTGTTGTACCTGTTGAAGAGGAAGGTCTTCAGGCATGATCTGAATACAGGGAAGGAGGAAGCAAGGAGGGGGGATTTAGGGAGAGAGTTCCAAAATTTTGCAGTGTGGTGGCTGAAAGCACGGCGGCCGATGATGGGAGGGAACAAGGGACAAGCAGGAGGATAGAGCCAGCTGAGCTCAGGCGACGAGTGGTGGAGGGGGGAAGTAAGCAGGTCGGAGAGGTAGCGATGTGCCAGGGCATGAAGAGATTTGTGAGAGGATCTTTAAGTAAGGTACACGCTTATCAATCCAGTTTCTACTCATCCAATTTCCCTCCCTTCCTTCAATATATCTACAGGTATCCCTTAATCTAAAAACCTCTGACATCCAGTATCAGCATCAAGCAATCCCAGGGCAGGTACAGCACAACAATGAGGAGTTAAAGCTTCTTTTAATTTGCTCGACAATGCACCACCTTATGTGATTGTCTACTCCAGAACCATCGCTGCTCACAAGTGAATACACAGAGAACAAGGGCAAACATGTTGCATCCTCTGAATCCTCTGATATTATGGTGTTTGTTTCCAATTGATCTGAGGTGTGCAGATAGTCCAGTGAAAATGAAAAACACAATATTGGTTAGGACTGTTATCACCAGTGATAATTATTACTGGCGATAGTAATCAAAGGCATTTATTATAAAAAAAACGCAAGATACTGCAGATGCTGGAAATTTGAAACAAAAACAGAAGTCACTGGGAACACTCAGCAGCTCAGGCAGTATCTATGGGGAAAGGAAAGTGAGTCAACGTTTTGGGTCCACAACCCTTCGTCAGAAACGTGGACTCATTTTCTTTTCTCCATAGATGCTGCCTGATCTGCATTTATTATTACATCATCAAGCTTTCTAGAACCTTAGCATTGAAATCTCAGTGGGGTGATTTGCTGTGTCACAAGCGGCTATGGGCCCAATAATTTACATTAAGTCAGGCAATTCTCAAATGGGACATCACAAGAACAACAACAACCAATGACATTGTACAGCGCCTTTCACATTGGAAGGATGTCTCACGGCGCTCGACAGTCAGGGATATGGACCCAAGCTGGGGACTTGGATCAGGAGGGTTGGAGGGCAGGGGGATAGGGGTAGAAGGGTGACCGAAGGTGCTGTGGAAAAGGAGGGTGTTGAGATGTGCCTTCAAGGAAGCAAGGGAGGGGGGACCGAGGCGAAGGCACCAGAATGTTTACAATGTGATAACGGTAAATCTCATATTTTTCACCCCAGTGTTTGAAATGGAAGCCTGAAGAGACGTTATCCTAAGTGATGTGCTTTGAGATGCATTAATCAACTGATCAGTTGCTATAACAATACAAGGGTTATTATTATCCGTCTTTCGAATGATATGTTAAACCGAGGACCCATCTGCCTGTTCAGGGGGACATTAAAGATCTTATGGCACTATTTGAAATTTGAGTTTCTCCCAATGTCCTGGCCAGCAATCCCCCAAATAAAATCTGGTCACGTTTCATGGCTGTTTGTGGGACATTACTGTGCACAATTGTGCTGCTAAGTCGCCTACAGTCACTCCATTTCACAGTAAATTCTGTGAAGTGCATTGAGACGTCCTTCTGACCTGATAACATAAGAATTAGGAGCAGGAGTAGGCCATTCGGCCCCTCGAGCCTGCCCCGCCATTCGATAAGATCATGGCTGATCTTCAGACCTAACTCTAATTACCTGCCCTATCCCCATAGCCCCTAATCCCTCTGTTTTTTAAAAATCTATCAGTCTCAGCCTTGAAAATGTTCAAAGACTGAGCATCTACAGCCTTCTGAAATAACTTCACACTTCCCCACATTAAATTCCATCTGCCACCGACTCGCCCACTCCCCGAGCCTATCTATATCCCGCTGCAATCTTTTTGCATCATCCTCAGAGCTTACTCTCCCACCTCGGTTAGTGTCTTCCGCGAATTTAGATACGTTACATTCAATGTCCTCGTCTCGATCGTTGATGTAAGTTGTAAATAGCTGAGGCCCAAACGCGCTACACCAAATGAAACTATTATTATTATTAATAAATGAAAACTATTGTGGAGCTTTGGGAATCCACCAGCCTCGGGAGTCAATAAAAGAAGGGCTCAATACCTCTTCCTGCCAATTGCCCTGCAGACATTTGCTTTTGATGCGAAGTTGCTCTGCCTCATCATGGTCCTCCTTGGGCTCTGCTGAATCCTTTTCCTCCTCACGTACCACAGGCTCGTCCTCTGCACTTTCCTGCACATTCTCAGGACAGGTGCATCCCTCATCCCCCTCCTGTCCCTCTCCTCCACCTTCTTCTTCTACTCTTCGCTCCTTCTCCTTCCTCTTCATCTCCAGTGCCTCCTGCAGTGCCTTGGGGTCACGGGTCTCGACCTTCTGACCGGCACAGATGCTCCTGCCGATGTGCTGCAGGTTCTGCACGAAGCGTTTCTCCAGCTCTTCCTTCTGCTGCTCCGCCGGACTCTGCTCCTCGTCCCGGCTGCCACTTTGCTGGGCGAGGAGCGTAGAGGGATCGCACACAGAGCGGTCCAGCCCTGCCTGTCCCTCCATAGCTGCCTGTCCCTCCTGCCCTGCCTGCCCCCCCTGCCCCCCCAGCGCTGCCTGTCTCCCCAGCCCGGCCAGCCCCCCCAGCCCTGCATCTCTCCCCAGCCCTGCCTGCCCCTCCATAGCTGCCTACCGCCCCTGCCCTGTCAGCCCTGCCTGGCCCCTGCCCTGCCTGCCCTGCCTGTCCCCCTGCCCTGCCTGTCCCCCTGCCCTGCCTGCCTCCCCTGCCCTGCCTGTCCCCCTGCCCTGCCTGCCTGCCCTGCCTTTCCCCCTGCCCTGCCTGTCCCCCTGCCCTGCCTGCCCTGCCTGTCCCCCTGTCCCACTGCCCTGTCAGCCCTGCCTGCCCTGCCCCCCCTGCCCTGCCTGTCCCCTGCCCTGTCCCCCTGCCCTGCCTGTCCCCCCTGCCTCCCCTGCCTGTCCCCTGCCCTGCCTGTCCCCTGCCCTGCCTGCCTGCCCTGCCTGCCTGCCCTGTCAGCCCTGCCTCCCCTGCCCTGCCTGCCCCCCCTGCCCTGCCTGTCCCCCTGTCCCACTACCCTGTCAGCCCTGCCCTGCCCCCCCCTGCCCTGTCAGCCCTGCCCTGCCCCCCCTGCCCCCTGCCCTGTCAGCCCCCCCTGTCTCCTGCCGCCGGAGGGGATACTTTGTTGCAACTTTTCAGCTGTTCCAGTTACCAGGGCTCCCACCGCGCAGGCGCCGGACAGGAAATAACCATAGCAACAATAAACAAACAGCAACTCCCCCCCACACCCCCACACACACCCATACACACCACCACACACCCCCCCATACCCCCCCACAACCCCCCCCCCCACACCCCCACCACCACCACACACACACCCCCACAACCCCCCCCCCCACACCCCCCACCACCACCACACACACCCCCCCATACCCCCCCACAACCCCCCCCCCACCCCCACCACCACCCCCCCCCACACACACACCCCCACCACCACACACACCCCCACACCCCCCCCACACCCCACACACACACACCCACCCACACACACACCCCCACACCCCCACCACCACCACCCCACACACACCCCACACCCCCACACCACCAACACACACACCCCACACACACACACACCCCCACACACACACACCCCCACACCCCCCCCACCACACCCCCCCACCCCCCCACACACACCCCCCACCACCACCCCCCCCCACACACACACACACCCCCCACCACCCCCCCCACACACACCCCCCACACACACCCCCCACCACCCCCCCACACACACCCCCACACACACCCCCCACCCCCCCCCCACACACACACACACACCCACCACCACCCCCCCCACACACACACCCCACCACACACACACACCCCACACACACCCCCACACACACACACCCACCACACGCACACACCCACACACACCCCCCACCACCACCCCCCCACACACACACACCCACCACACACACACACCCCACACACACCCCCACACACACACCCCCACACACACACACCCACCACACACACACACCCCACACACACCCCCACACACACCCCCACACACACACCCACCACACACACACACCCCACACACCCCCACACACACACACCCACCACACACACACCCCCACACACACACCCCCCACAACCCCCCCCCACACCCCACCACCACCAACACACCCACACACACACCCCCCACAACCCCCCCCCCACACCCCACACACACACACCCCCACACCCCCACACACCCCCACACCCCCACACCACCACACCACCACACACACACACCCACACACCCCCCCACACCCCACACACACACACCCACACACACACACCCCCACACCCCCCACAACCCCCCACACCCCCACCACCACCACACACACACACCCACACCACCACCACACACACACACCCACCCACCCACACACACTCCCACACCCCCCCACAACCCCCCCCCACACCCCCACCACCACCACACACACACACACCCACACCACCACCACACACACACACCCACCCACACACACACACTCCCACACCCCCACCACCACCCCCCCACACACACACCCCCCACACACACCACCCCCCACACACACACACCCCACACACACACACCCACACACCCCCCCCACACCCCCACACCACCACACACACCCCCACAACCCCCCCCCCACACCCCCACCACCAAACACACACACACACACACACCCACACACACACACTGCCCCCACACCCCCACAACTCCCCCCCACACCCCACCACCACCAACACACACACACACCCCCACACACACACACTCCCACACCCCCCACAACCCCCCCCCACACCCCACCACACACACACCCCCACACCCCCCCACAACCCCCCCCACACCCCCACCACCACCACCCCACACACACCCCCCACCACCACCCCCCCCCCACACACACACACACACCCCCACCACCACCCCCCCCACACACACACACCCCACACACACCCCCACACCCCCCCCACACCCCCACCACACACACACCCACACACACACACACACCCCACCCCCACACCCCCACACACACCCACACACACACACCCACACCCCCCCACACACCCCCCCCCACACACACACCCACACACACACCCCCACACACACACCCCCACCACCACACACCCCCCCCACACCCCCACACACACCCCCACACACACACCCACACACACCCCACACCCCCCCCACCACACACACACCCCCACACACACACCCACACACACACACCCACACCCCCCCACCACACACACCCCCCACACCACCACCCCCCCCACACCCCCACCACCACCACCCACACACACCCCCACCACCACCCCACACACACCCCCACCACCACCACCCCACACACACACACACCCCCAGGGACAGAGTGGCAGAAGGCCCACCCACTAATAGTGGGGTGAGCGAGACGGGGGACGTGAAGTAGACCCGAGCCCCGCTGAGCGGAGGGAGCGAGCAGGATGGTAGGGGGGTAGGAAGTCACAGAGATAGGGAGGAGCAACACCATGGAGGGCTTTGAAGGTGAGGACCTTGAACTGTATTCAACAACAGGAACAACAACAAATTGCATTCATAAAATTTTTATGCAGTTTTCATATTTTTTTATATCACTTTTTATGTAATTTTTTATAAATTATACAGGTCGTGCTTCGCCACTGTCAAGCACTCTGGGACGCTGAAGGGCGCTATATAAATTCAAGTTGTTATGAATCAAAAGTCCTTACACATAGATCTGTATGAGATGTTCAAACTGCAGACCATGAAGATGTTTACACATACTGTATCAACTCATTAAGGCACTATAACCTTTATGAGCACAATGAAAGATATTTCCTGTAATAGCTGCAGACTCTCCACAAATGTTGTCTTTTAATAAATGATTAAAAACTCTGAATATTCTGATTCACCCTCTTTCGTAATAATAATAATAATCCTTCTATTTGATATAGCGCCTTATTGTGGTTGTTGGTACGTCTCAAAGGGCTTCACAGGGTTTACTGTGAAGTGGTTTTTGACTGCATTTTGTGGATGAAATGCAGCAGACCAGTTGCGCACAGCAGTTGACCCAGAAATGGCCATGGAGTGAGCGATCAATTTAATTTGGGGGATTGTTGGCCAGGACCCTGGGAGAAACTCACCTTTCTTTTTAGTGCCATGACATCCACCTGAACAGGCAGGCGGGCTTGGTTTCACGTCTCATCTGAAGGATGGATGAAGTGCCTTTCACGTCAGGAGGATGTCCTAAGGCACTGGACAATGAAGGGTTTGCACCCGGCCTGCAGCTTGGGATCAGAAAAGGGTGGGGTTCAAGGGGGTGAAGGAGGGAAGATGACCGAAGGCACGGTTGGAAAGGAAGATCTTGAGACGGGCTTTGAAGCAGGCATGGGAGGGGGTGAGGGGGAGGGGCTCCAGAGTGGAAATGAAATTAGATCGATTTTTTTCAGAAAATAATATTTTCAGGATGCAGTAAATGAGTGAATTAATTGATTAATTAATTAATTAGCAGGGCTGGATTATCCCATAAACCAACTAAACTATGGCATAAGGCCCCAAAGTTTGAGGGGTCTCCGGATATGGCACCTTTACCTCGTGCTCCACCACTGTTCCCATCACTCTCCATTCTGCCTCATGCTTCATACAACTTTAGGAGAGGCAACGTGATAAGCAAAGGGTAGAGAAGTGGAGCAGGAGGTATGAGACAGTGGGGAGATGCAACGGGAAGAAAGTCTTTTAAAAAGGTGTTGTTGCATATTTTCCATGCATAGTACAAAGGGCCATCTAACGTAATCTGTTTTAGAGCCCTCAGATACCTTAATCTGGCGTTGCTCCATTTCCAGAGCCAACCAGCCCCTGCCTTCTTTATTTTTAAATGAGGGTGTTTTGAATTATAGAATTTAGGCTCGAGAGTGATTTCCACATTTAGTTGTTTCCACAGTTGATCTGCTGAGGAGGGATGAAACCCATGCTCTCCCAGGCCAAAACATACTGATCAGTTTACGGGAATACTGTCCTTGGAACTGTGAGCAATTGCTTTAAAAGTTAATTTCATCACATTAACTTCCTATTTCTTTCCAACTGTTGGCTTCATTTGACTCATGGAGAAATGTTTACTTTAACATAATTGTGTCATGGACTTTTATACTCTGCTGTGCTTCTGTGCCAAATTGGCGGTTGGTAGCACTCTTGCCTCTGAGTCAGAGGTGGTGGGTTCAAGCCTCACGCCAGGATTTGAATTTATAGTCTAGATTCACAGTCCAATGCAGTGCTGAGCGTGTGCTGTATTGTTGGAGATGCCGTCCTTCAGATGAGACGTTAAAAAATGATTTCTCATCTGTCTGTTCAGGCAGATATTAAAGATCCCATGGAACTATTCGAACAAGGGAAGTTTCTCACGGCGTCCTGGCCAACAATCTCCCAAATAAATTGCCCATGGCTGCTTTTGGATATTGCTGTGTGTAAATTGGCTGCTGTGATTCATCTGCAACATCCACAGTTACTACACTTTACAGGAATCCTGCAAAGCACTTTGAGATGTCCTCCTG